TATGGGAACTATGGTATATTCCTTATAATGAGTAATGCAGGATTTTGTCCATCAACAGTAGGGGACCCTGATATGGTACCCAAACAGTAAGATCCGTATCAAAAGGACCTAAACCGCATCAAACTATGGTAGTGTCCGAAAATCGGGGACCCTAATTTAGTACCTTACATGGACCCTTATTACAAGGACCCCAGAATAGGGTACCCCCTAATTTTCGGAAACTCCCAGGTGCATCGATCAAGCAAGCCAGAGCCTAGGTTCCTGAGTGGCACCCTTTTGCCCTTTTAGTTTAGGGTTCCCTTATTAAGACCAAACAGCAGGAAAAGGGGTACCCTTATTATAAAGGGCTACTCAAAAACCAAGGAGTACAGAATGGTGATTTACTGACCCTGCAGATTGACCGAACTCAAGTCTGTTGCACTTGTGCGGCTTTTGCTGCGATTCTTGGCGATGGCTCTGTCGTGACCTGGGGTGACGAGGCATTTGGTGGTGGCTGCGGTGCTGTGAAAGATAACTCGAAGGATGCGCATCACGTTCACGCCTCTCCCCACGCGTTCGCTGCCATTCTTTGCGATGGATCTGTGTTGACATGGGGCGTTCCTGGCTTCGGTGGAGACAGTACTGCTGTGCGGCATCAGCTGCAGAATGTGCGGCAGATCCATGCAACTAGACATGCTTTTGCAGCCATCCTTGGCGATGGTTCGGTCGTGACCTGGGGTGTTGCTGCCTGGGGCGGTGACAGTAGCGCTGTGCAGGATCAGCTGACGCATGTGCAGCAGATCCAAGCAAGTTACGGTGCTTTTGCGGCCATTCTTGGCGATGGTTCGGTCGTGACCTGGGGTCGTGATCTTTATGGTGGTGACAGTCGCTCTGTTCAGCATCAGCTGCAGAATGTGCAAAAGATCCAAGCTGGTGAAGCTTTTGCTGCAATTCTTTGCGATGGATCCGTCGTGACATGGGGTCATGATGACCATGGTGGTGACAGTGGTGCTGTACAGGAACAGCTGAAGAATGTGCAGCAGATCCAAACCACTGGCACAGCCTTTGCTGCCATTCTTGGCAATGGATTCGTCGTGACTTGGGGTACACCTCTCTCTGAGGCTGCTGACAGTAGTAAGGTGCAGCGTCAGCTGAAGGATGTGCAGCAGATCCAAGCAAATAGCTATGCTTTTGCAGCCATTCTTGGTGATGGGTCTGTCGTGACCTGGGGTAACGGTCTTCTCGGTGGAGACAGTAGTGCGGTGCAGGATCAACTGAAGAACGTGCAGCAGGTTCAAGCCTCTAGAAGCTCTTTTGCTGCCATTTTAAGCGACGGATCGGTCGTGACCTGGGGTTATGCTGGCCACGGCGGTGACAGTAGCGCTGTGCAGGATCAGCTGACGCATGTGCAGCAGATCCAAGCAAGTCACGGTGCTTTTGCGGCCATTCTTGGCGATGGTTCGGTCGTGACATGGGGTGACGCTCGGTATGGTGGTGACAGTGGTGCTGTACAGGAACAGCTGAAGAATGTGCAGCAGATCCAGGCCTCTTTCAACGCTTTTGCTGCCGTTTGCCGCAATGGATGCATCGTGACCTGGGGTGCTGCCGACTACGGTGGTGACAGTAGTGCTGTGCAGGATCAGCTTGGAAACGTGCAGCAGATACGATCCACTTCGTCAGCTTTTGCTGCCATTCTCGGCGACAGATCCGTCGCCTGGATCGTGCTTGCCTTGGCGCTGGCAGTCGTCTTGTGCAGGGTCAGCTGAGTACTTAGAGGTTCATGGGACTTAGTAACTTGGGTTCTAATTAAGGTAGCTACACTTGTAATTACTTATAATCCCGATTAGGGTACTTATAACTGTACTTACTAAGTCCCATGAACCTCCAAGGATTGCATGAGCCGCATATCGCAGACTGCACCTTCGATCTCGAGGGCTCCAGATCCCATCAAGGGCCCTCCCAAGCCCCAAACTCCGCACCTAAAGTCCCGAAGTCTGATCCCAGAACCCGAAACGAAGCCAAAAAAACCCTCAACTCTACTGCATCCGGAACCCTCATATCGGGTTCGGAATGGTTGCTGACAGCTTAATATACTCCAAGACCCTACTCTAACTATCAAGGTCCCTAGACCAATTTAGTATAGGGTGTAGTACACCATTATAGTAACTATTATAGAGCCCTTTGTAGAACCCTTTGTGCGGAGCCCTTACATGAAGCCTATTCTAATCATCGAGGCCCTTATAATATTGAGCAAACCGAAGCTGGAGGTTTTACCTGGAGGCTTCAAAAATTGATGTTCTTTTTGGGTTTAGGGTGTAGGATTTAGGCTGTACAGGCTTTTGGCTTAGCCTTGTAACACCTTCTCAAAGACCTGTTTAAAGGCCTATGAAATCCTTGCGGCTTCTATCGCTTACTATAAACTTCAGATCAAGAAAGCCCTTCTCTAAGGGCCCAATTAATATTAGGATGACTACGTTAGGAATACTCCGTAGATTTTAGGAGGATCCCAAAGAGGATGTAAGGAATATATTGGAGTCTCTGGGAATATTAGGATGACAACTCTGAACCGCATAAAGCCGATAAGTTTAAATATAGAAGCCTGAATACGTATGAATATGTTTCCTTGGGTTTCCTCCTTGTTTGTACTATAGCATCCCCCCAAACCCTACTCTAATGAATTCTAATTACGAAGGCCCTTGAAGTAGAAATTCCCTAAACCCTAGAGAGTGTATGGGTATAGGGCTTAGGCTTACCCTAAACCCCTAAACCCCTATACTCCTGAAGTAATAATTGGGGGCCCGCATCAAGTTTGACAACAAGAGCTCTGTTTTCTGGTCTGGGGATGCAACGGCTGGGGGCAGGCAAGGGCCATCAGGGTGTTCAGGGTTTAGGGTTTGAGGTTTAGGGTTTGGGGTTCAGGGTTGAGGGTTTATGGCTTAGGGTTCAGGGTTTAGTGTTTTGCTGGTTCGGGCTTAGTCTTTAGGGTTTAGGGTTATCGGTTCTAGGGCGCACGGGGTAAAGGGTTCAGGGTTTCCGGGCTGGGTTCAGTTTCAGGACTTCGGGGTTTTAGGCCCTTCCGAAGGACGGTTGGAGTTCTCCTGTTTGCGATAAGCACGCTTCTCGTTTTTTCACTTCAGCGCTACACCCCAAATCCGGAACTGCTGCCCTAAACCCTAAACCCCTAAACCGGAACTGCTGCCAGGTGCTCATAAGTGAGCGGAAGGCAGCAAAAACAGCTGCGACCGACGGAAGCCATGGCACGATAAAGTGTTGTGCAGCCTTCTTCTTCTTCTGCTACAGCTAGCATCGCTGCTCCTATGCCTACTCCTCAGTTTATTCCTACTCCTACTCCGACTCCGACTCCGCCTCCTGCTTCGGCTGCTTCTACTGCTACTGCATGATGCTGCTACTGCTACACCTGCTACTGCTATGTCTGCTACTGCTACATCTGCTACTGCTACTGCTACTGCTACTGCTACTGCTACTGCTACTGCTACTACTACTGCTGCTGCTGCTACTACTGCTCTACTACTACTACTACTACTACTACTACTACTACTACTACTTCTACTCCTGCTACTACTACTACTACTACTACTACTACTACTACTACTACTACTGCCACCGCCACTACTACTGCTGCTGCTACCATCACTGTTGCTATTGCCACTTCTGCCACTACTGCTACTACTGCTACTACTGCTACTACTGCTACTGCTGCTACTGCTACTGCTACTACTGCTACTGCGACTGCGACGTTTTTTTCTTGCAGCTGCGACTGCAACTGCTGATGCTGCTGATGCTACTGCGACTAGCTGTTAATGCTACGGCTCCTAGTGCTGGTATTCGCAAACCCCTCACCGCTGACTACCGACCACCAACCACTAAGTACGACCCATTAGCTACGTGTTATTTCAACGCCTTTTTCAAAGTTTCCTTTGCCATGTCCCTCAAAAGCCAGAATCAAATTATTTGCCAAGTACCGCGTTGAGTGCCACATGTAGCGCCACGTAGTTTGCCTCTGCATGTGATACTACGAACCTGGCTCCTATGACCATAGGCTCTAGACCCTAAACCCTATAAGCCCTTTAAGCTTTAGGCCAAAACCCTAAACGCTACGGTGATGATGCTTGGCTTTCCTGGAGGCATTTACAGAGATAGATACCCTCCTCCCTAAACCTCAGATCCTTCATCCTAAACTCTAGATACTGCTCGGAGGTGAAGGTCCTAGCTAGAAGTGATTACCTAACTGGGGTTCTAAGTGATTAGAAGTATGGTTTTGTAACCCCAGTTACTACAGTAGAAGCCAGAAAGTTGGAATATCATTATCGTATCCCCTTTAAGGTAAATTATAGGGTATCCTACCATGAAACCATATTCCAACTTTCTGGAGTTCCTTTTAAGTCCCATGAACCTTTAAAAGCCCCGAACTGAACCTCTAGGCCTCGAAGCCAGTTGAGCGGTTACCAAGCTGAAATGCTCCCTGCTACTTTGCGCTGCATTTTGGCTTAAAGTTTTATTTTCAATGGCCGGTGTAGGGTTTAGGATTTCGTTTAGGGTCCATGCATGCATTCATCGCAATGAAGATCCGTGTCCGGGAGCATTAGTGTGTAGGATGTGCCCGACTTGGAGTATTCAAAGTGTGGCCCAAAGCCCCATACCCCTGAACCCTAAACGAACCCTCAATCCCAAATTCAGAAAAAGGAGCCATAAAGCTTACACCCCGCAAGAGCCTAGCAAAACGAGCCCCATCGTAATTCCTAAACCCACGTAGCCGGAGACTCCCAAATCCTTTAATTCAGGAATCTACCTCAAATCCCTGTAGATCCCTTATAGCTCCCCTATAGATCCCTTAAAGGAACCCTACTTGGAGGTTCATGGGACTTAGTAAGTACAGTGATAAGTACCTTAATTGGGAGTATAAGTACCTTTAAGTGTAGTTACGTTAATTATAACCCTTGTTACTCAGTCCCACGATCCTCTAAGTAGGGCCCTAGGTAGATCAGAGTCTCTGCGCGGCGATGTCGGCCAGCGCATCGGACTCGTCGGAGTCGGAGTCCGAGGATCGGGTGGAGTTCCTGTGTTTAGGGGGTTTATTTGGGGTTTAGGGTTTAGGGTTTAGGTTTTAGGGTTTAGGGTTTAGGGTTTAAGTTTAGGGGTTTAGGGGTTAGAGTTCCTTTGTACTTGCAGGGGCAGGGGACTTAGTAAGGGTTCTTAAAGGGCTCCTGAAAGGGATCTATAGGGTTCCTTAAAGGGATCTATGGGGTTGAGGGTTTAGGGTCTACTTGGAGGGGTTTATTTGGTGGTTTAGGATTTTAGGGTTTAGGGCTTACGGTTAATAGAGACTCAAGGATCGACCAGGTTTTGGTTCTCAAGTAAGATTCCCTGAACCAAACAACCCCAAACCTTAAGCCCTAAACCCGTTTAAGATGTGGGAGTTTCCGAAAATAGGGGACCCTGGTATAGTACCCTAAAAATAGGATCCCTATTATAAGGACCCCAAAATAAGGTACCCCTCATTTTCGGAAACTCCCATGTGGGTGGTTGTCAAAATTATGGTCCCTTTTTGGGTCCCTATTATAATACGGCACCGACTATTTAGAATACCCCAAAAAGCGACCATAATCTTGACAACCACCCACGTCTCCTTAGGAGGTTCATAGGACTTAGTAAGTACAGTTATAAGTAACTTAACTGGGGCTATCAGTAATTATTATAAGTATAGCTACCCTATTTATAACCCTCGTTACTAAGTCCCATGAACCTCTAAGTAGATCCTAAACCTTATAGATCTCTCTACGGAACCCTTACAGATCCCTTTTAACATTATTTATAACCTTAGTTACTAAGTCTCATGAATCTCCAAGTAGACTCTAAACCCTAAACCCCTTAAGAGGAGCCTTATGATAGAACCCTATAGTACCCTTTAAAGGAACCCTAAACCCTAAACCATATAGATCCCTTTAGCGAACCCTGATAGATCCCTTGAAAGAGCCCTATTATTATAAGTATAGCTACCCTATTTATAACCCTCGTTACTAAGTCCCATGAACCTCTAAGTAGGCCCTAAACCCTAAACCCTATAGATCACTGAAGCCCCTAAAAAATAGAGCCCTACTATAGATCCCTTTAAAGGAACCCTACCGGTAATTCTTTAAGCCCCTATATAGGGCCCTTATACTAACCCTACAAACAAACACCCATGTCTCGGAGATGATAGGAGGCACCGAGACTCAGGGATGCTGAAGGCAAAGGATTTAAACCCTGAGCCCTATTCCTTCAGAGACTCCTAGGGCGCCTTTAAAGGGACCCTATGAGGATTCTTATAAGGGATCCATAAGGGGTCTATAGGGTTTAGACCCAGAGACTCCAACATCCTTTAGTTAAGGAACAGACATTACTAGATTTTGATAAGAGTTCCTTTAAGGTATGTATAAGGGACCTATAGGGTTTAGGGTGTAGGGCACCCAGAGACTCCAATATCCCTTATTCAAGGAATAGACATTAAGTTATAGTAGGATCCCAAATATGATTTAAGGATGTACATATTCCATAATTACTGGAGTCTCTTGGCGTTCGAGACACTCCCAAGCCCTCAAAAGCCTACACCCTAAATCACCCTAAACCCCTTTAAAGGAGCACTTTTACAAGAACCTTGTTCGAATTACTAATCCCCCCTAAACCCCAGACCCTACCCCAAGACCCTATTCTGACTACTAAGGCCCCTTATATTAATCTCGGACAGGCCTCGGAGAAGCCGCGACGTCGTGGTAAGAAACAGAAGGGGACCCCAGGCGCCGGCTGGGGGTTTGGGGTTTTGGGTTTACCATGGGTTTGGGGTTCAGGGGTTCAGGGGTTGAGGGGTTTAGGGGTTTGGGGGTTTAGGGATTTAGGGGTTTAGGGGTTTAGGGTTTGGGGGTTTCGAGTTTAAGGCTTGAGGTTGGGAGGTTCAATGGGTTTTGGGTTTCGGGCGGCTTTGTGCCCAAAGGTTCCGAGACACTCTAACTGAGGAGTATGCCCTAAAATCTACTGGGGATCCTTGTCACCTTCACCCTAAACCCTAAACCCTAAACCGGCACTCTTTGGGTGGATCGTGGGCCAGTCGGGTTTGAGCCTTCCAGTCGATTTTCTGCGACTTGTTGCGTCTTTGGCTTCTAATTTCTTCCCAAGCAGCGAAGCGCGAGGCCCAAAAGCCTAAACCCCAAGCTCCAACCCTCAACCGTAAACCCTAACTAGACCCCCCAACTACCGTCTAATATATTCTAAGTCGTACCCACCATTAAGGATCATAAAGGCTCTATTGAAGGGCACCTGGGGGGTCTATTCAAGCCCTGAGCCCTAAACTCTAAAGCCGAAAACAAACTCTACTATACAGGCCTAAACAATTGACGATACCATTGTGGGGGTTCTCATTATGATTATACAATAATATACCCCCAAAACCTCTATTCTAAATTATTAAGGCCCCTATATTAAAAAAACCCTAAACCCTATAGATCCCTTTAAGGGAACCCTTATAGATCCTTTTAAAGGAACCCGTAAAGACACCCTACAGATCACCCTTAACGATCCCTTAAAGAAGCCCTAAAATCAAATTCCATCCCTAGGCCCAGAAACAAACCCTATACCCCAAGCGGCAAACCCTAAACCCTAATTCCTGAACCCTAAGCCCAAAATCAGACCCTAAAGCCACAACTTCACCTAAACCTCCAGACCACAAACCCTAAACCCGAAGCCTTGTAGGCCACCCTTAAAGATCCCTTATTTGGAGGTTCATGAGACTTGGTAAGTACAGCTATAAGTACCTTAATTGGGGTTATAACCAATTATAAGTATAGTTACCTTGTTTATAACCATAGTTACTAAGCCCCAGGCACCTCTATAGATCCCTTTAAAGGAACCCGATTAGATCACCCTTGAAGATCCCTTAAAGGGGCCCTAAAATCAAAATTCCAGCAGCCAGTCTGGAAGTGCCCGCGGCGCTTTCCGCAGCTCCATCCCCGGCTCGAGGGGTGGCGGCCCTACGCAGGGCTTCGAGGGTTTAGAGATGTTTAGGGTTTAGTTAGGGTTTCGACGGTTTAGGGTTTCTTTAGGGTTTAGGGTTTAGTTAGGCTTCGACGGTTTAGGGTTTAGGGCTTAGTTAGGGTTTCGGGATTAGGGCTCAGTTAGGCTTTAGGGCTGAGTTTGGGTTTAGGAGATACCTTTCTTGACCTTCTTACTGGGTTTAAGTCAATGCATGCCCCCAAGCTGTGTGTGGGGCCACTGATGTGGCAGGCTTAGGGGTGCCGTCACACAGGTTGGCCGCGTGTGATTCCTGGCGCGCCAGAGGCAGACCAACCCACACGGGGCCTGCGTGGTCTCACGCTCGTCCTTCCTTATGCGGCGTCTGGGTTGCAGGCAACAGCTATTGGGAGACAACTCACTTCAGTTTTTTCCTCTTGCCCCAATGGTTGCTCATGGACCTGATGAGGGAGCTGGAGGACATTTGTTCTCTTGTGTCGCTCCTGGGTCGTGGACGACAGCTGGAGGGCGCTTGATGTTGTCATTCTCCTCTCCGGAGGTCTTGCTGTCCTGTTGGCTCTTGGGCCCCTCTCTTGGGCTTTGTTTGGTTTTGGGCGCTTGGGTCCTGACATGTTGGCGGATGACCGTGCTTGTCATCTTGCGGGAGCTGACTACTTCAAGGTGCACTGGCTGCCATTCTTCGTGCATTGTGCTTCTTTCCTTTGGCCCTTTCTGGCTACTCAATCGACTGTTCGATCGTCTCCTTCCTTTCCTTTTTTTGGCGAGATGACTTTCGGATTTTACTTTTTGGCTTACAGGGCACACAGCGCTTGGTTCGAGGCAACCGGCCTGAGCGCCGACTCTGCAGCCACCCGGGTGCTTTAGACGATTCAGCTAGACATTGATACATTCTGCTGCGCGGCGGCCCTGTCCCTGGAAGGCAGTCCGCCTCACTATCCCGGCGATCCTTAACTTTCTCCCGGTTTGTGCAAGAGTTTCGGCACCTTACGTGGCCCAACTTGCAGGCTGCACCCTGGGGCCTACTCTGCAGAGACAGGCCGGCTGAAGCAGCTACTCAACATCACGGGCCTGCAGCCCCAGGATCTTGGATGGCTTGAGGCTTGGAGGCCTGCAGAACTGCTTAACCTGCTATGTGATTGTGCTCTAAAAGGACAATTGGTAGTACCTCTTCAGCATTGCAGTGCCACACGGAATGCAGTGATATCAGCAAAGCGGCCCTTCAATCTCGTAGCCCTTGGTGAGCATCTGACTAAAGCGATCATTGAACCTATCCGCGCTGTGTGGCAGCGACGGCTCCCTGTGCTGCAGGTATAGCCAAGAGACCCACATGGTTCCCTTTGCTGGCCTGGATTACACGCATCCACGGACACGGCCCATTTTGGGCAAATGTCGTCGCGTTTGGCTTACGCATGCAACGCTTAGCTACACCGTGCCCGCAAGACCGTCATGTTTGCTGCGGTTTTGGACCTGGTGGTCTTCGGGGCCTCAACTCTGTGCTGGGTCGGCATCCTGAAGCGGCCCTTGATCAACGCGTAGCCATGTTATGGCTAAGTATCTGGCTGACACCATTGAGTGGCTGCCGCCTCGCCCCAAGCATATTTGGTGCAGTGGTGGCTTTGCGAATTCTCGCAGGTGTCTGCCTCAAATGGTGTGCTGCGAGGTTTCTCGACCACGCGCAGCGGTCTGCTCCGCCCAAACGTTGGAAGCCGCTGTGCCAGCAGGGAATGCTTCATGAGCCAGAAAGGCTGCTTTATTCCGCCGAGGTCCGGGAAGCAATTGCACAGGGATACAATCAAAGAAAGGGGCAAAAGACGGTGCATGTCTGGACAGACTGCGCAGAATGTCTTGCATCGTCCGAGTCCCCAGTCGGGGGGGCAATCCAGCCAGGAAAACACGCGCAGGAACGCTGGGCAGAGCGCGCTGCCCCAGCGGTAACGCAAAAATCCTGGACATGTAGGGCCGATTTCTGTGCCTTGGTGTTGTCCTGTAGCCGGCATGCTGGGGTTCGCGCGGCAATTTTTACTTTAACAGTTCGGCGACGTGGCTGCTGTCATGCATTCGACTGCAGTATTCTGCGTGGCATGTTAAACAGGGTCGCTTGAGTTTGAGGGCGCTTGGCGTGCAGATAGCATCTTAGAGGCAATGGCACGGCTGCTCCATATCTTGCGGTGCTGCTGGACTCCGCCCCCATCCTTCCCTTTGCTGGGCAGTGACGTTTACGGAACCCGGGGCGCTCGGCCAGTCTGAACTCCAAGTGGAGGGGGCGACAACGTTTTTTCGGAACCCCCTGTGTGAAGCAGGGAGGGATGGCGCTTCAGGCATGGCCCTGCTTTTACAGAGGTCGCTCTCTCTCTCTCTCTCTCTCTCTCTCTCTCTCTCTCTCTCTCTCTCTCTCTCTCTCTCTCTCTCTCTCTCTCTCTCTCTCTCTCCTCTACTCTCTCTATCTCTCTCTCCTCTCACTCTCTCTTCACTCCTTCTCCACCTCTCTCTCTCTCTCTCTCACTCACTCTCTACTCACTCTCTCTCTCTCTCTCTCTCTCTCTCTCTCTCTCTCTCTCTCTCTCTCTCTCTCTCTCTCTCTCTCTCTCTCTCTCTCTCTCTCTCTCTCTCTCTCTCTCTCTCTCTCTCTCTCGCTCCCTCACTCACTCACTCGCTCGCTCACTCACTCACTCACTCACTCACTCTCTCACTCACTCACTCACTCACTCTTTCACTCGCTAATTTCACCAAATGAATATGCACATGAAAATCTATCTATCTATCTACCACCTATGTACCTACCTACTTATCTAGCTATCCGCTACTTAGCTGTGCGGCTATCCAGCTATCTATCTATCTGTCTGCCTATCTCTCAGTCTATGCATCTGTCTGTCTATTTATCTGTATAAGTGTTTTCAAAGGTTTACAGACCTATAATGACCTATACTTGTAATCGAACTGTCCGAGAAGTATATACAGAAATAGACTCGAGTTATAACTGAGTTGTAACAGGGTTTTAATGCGTTATTGTAACGGACTTGTATTCTGATGATTTTCAACATCTTCAACAGAGCATATTAAATAAGAGGTAGCAGTTTTACTTTAAGGTGTTTACAGTAAGAGCGACGGTGCTCACGATCAGTTGTTATTGCTTTTGCTTTAAACCGTGGAATATTGGTACACGTCTTAACGGCTTAGCGTTTAGGGCTTACGGTTTAAACTTGGAGTTTAGGCTTTGTTCTGTCATTGGCGTTTTTTTGTCTGGGCTTGGTACGGTTTGCAGACGTTCAAGCGCAAAAGTCGCTTCGGGCTTCCAGGATCCTTTTCTGTCGTGCTTTTAATCGAGTTTTGTCGAAGCTTTTTGATTCGGGTCTTTTCTTGAAATTTAGGCTTCATAAACCCTAAACTAAATTAAACCCGAGCCTTTAAGGCCCTAATCCCTGAACCTTCTGAAACCTGAACCTTGAACCTAAACCTTGCGCAAGTTTCTGCATTGTAACCTGTACATGTAGTTAACATGAGACACCCAACACGCACGCTCCGATCCCTTAACATTCAATTCAGTCTTTTAAAAGAAGGAATAATGTAGGAACCTGGTTAAGAAACCTCGGGTCTTTAAGTACAATAAAAGTCGGAACAATCAGTCGCTGTTCCCTCGTAGCCCCTATGTTGTACCGGTTTCCTATGCCCCCAGCCCCAGTTCCAACCTATTGAGCCTCCTTTATAGCTTCTGCTGGTTCCTCCTGGTAATTGACTGTTGCTGCAAGGGGCCGTTGCCTCATGTAGAATACCAAAGCAAACTGAAAAAGCTCGGCAGACACCATCTGCGACACCTTCACCCCATGGACTAAATCCTAAGCCCCTGAACTCTTATACCCTAAAGGGTAAATATCCGAACCTTAAACCCTACAGCCAGAACCCCTAAATGCCTAAACCCGCAAACCCAAACCCTAACCTCTAAGCTCGTAAAAGACTCGTAAACCCCTACGCACGCCCTAAGCCCTCCACCCTAAACCCAAAAACCCTACACCATTGAGAAGGTCACTCCTTCTGACATACTAGTGCTTGAGGGGAGTGGAAGTGCGGATTCCTATAATATTGCTTATATAACCCCTTCTAGCAGTCCTTGTATTCCCTCCTCCACTCCCCCTAAACCAGCAGTAACTTTGTCATAGTTGGGTAACAATTCGCATGTTTATGGGTGTTTAAATCCAAGAAGGACCCTCATTCTCTGAACCCTACACTCTAAACTCTCAACCCTAAGATGATTTCAGAATCTCCCCAGGCATCTCTACGGTCAGTCCAGCCGCATGGGGCCCTCGAGGTGCCACTCTCGAGTCATCTTTTCTTCATACAATGATAGTGCCAGGGGTGATAAAGAAATAAGTACAATAGCACTCGTAGTAATAGAGGTAATACCAATGGCTATGATGATAATAATAGAAGCAGTACTGAAAATGCTGACCGCAACAGGAAATTTTGTAAGATTTCGGATGGCTTTGTAGGTTGTTGGCATAAGAGTCTACGGTGCTTTGCCTTCGCAAGGCTTTTATGGAGGTAGCTGAGGGTTGCAAAGGCTGCAGGGTTTGGGGAACCCCTAAACCCTAAACCGTTTCGGGGTAGCATCGGGAGGTGTAGGGGTCCAAGTCTCGGATGTAAAGTTGCCCGACCCCGGAGAGGATGCGAGACGTACCTGGGTTTCGGGTTTGCTGTTTCGGGTTTAGGGGTTTAGGGGTTTATTGTTTAGGGTTTACGGTCTTGTGTTTAGGGGTTCCGACACAGTTTCGTAGGATAGGTTCCCAAATCAGGGGATCTGCTTTTTGGGTTTCGGGTGTTCAAGTGAGAGTCTCTTGGGGGAAGAAGGAGGCTTGCCTGACAACCGAAAGGTTTTAATAGAGTTTCCTTTTTCAGTTTTTTTGTTCAGGTTGTATCCGGTTATAGGAGTTCCATGGCTGTCCATTCAAATGTCAGTAATTGTGTAGGTTTTTTTTGTCTGGGTTTGGGCTCTTGCCCAGCCCCGCCGCAGTACCGTTCTGCACTTGTTTTCGGTCTAAAGCCATGGGGGTCGGAATAGCTACTTAATTAGAGTTGCAATATGCCCTTGCAGTCCCTCTCTAGTTAAAGTAGTCTGGGATTGTAATAGACCCTTGGTAGTAAGCCTTTTCAGCGCTACTCTTAGAATGAATCCTTTCAAGGAGCCCTGTTACAATGATTAAGGCTCCCACATAACCCAGAGACTCCAATATCCCTTAGTTAAGGAATATAGATCGATCCCTTAAAGGGGGCCTGCCGGGGAAACCTAAAGTCTCAAAACCAAGTGTCGCGGCATCGGGACACTGAGCTACAGATCCTACCCAGGGGTTTAGGGTTGAGGGTTTAGACCCTGCCTGGAGGCTAATAATACCCGACCCCTTTTTTCGGATATCTAGTTTTTACGGGTAGGATCTCTTGCACAAAACCCTAAACTGAAACCTGAACCCTAAACCCTAACCCGACATCCAAAAAAGGGGTGGGGTGTGAGCTTGCTGGTAGAGCACCAAGCCGGCCCGGTTAAGTGTTTAGGGCCTGGGCTTCAGGGCCTCGGGTTAGGGTTTGCAGTCGCAGGGTTTGGGGTTTGGGCTTCGGGTTGTACTGGCAGGCCTCATAAAACATAATATGAGCACCGTGTAACTTAGGTGCATTCCTTAACGAAGGTGTATTGCGCTCTCTGGGAGCAGGCCTTTCGGAAGGGTTCCTATGGAAATCTTAAGGTGCTAAGAAGAGCCCTCCCCCATCTCAGACAAACATATTCCCTAAACCTGAACCTAAAGTCCTCCCAGCGCTTCCCAAGTACCCTCCATTAGAGCCCTTACAGTGGGTATGTAGGGTATAATAGAGGGTTTAGGGTTTGGGGTTTAGCTTTTTATAGAGGGCATTTAGGGTATAATAGACGGTTTAGGGTTGAGGGTTTAGCTTTTATAGTGGGTGTTTAGAGGGTTTAGGTTTAGGGTTTAGCTTTTTGTAGTGGGTATTTTGGGTATAATAGAGGGGTGCTGGTCAACCCGAAACCTTACAGTAGAAGCCAGAAAGTTGGAACATCTTTCTCCTCATGCCCTTACGGCAAAGCATAAGGGATCCTAGCACGAATCCTCCTAAACCCATGTTCCAACTTTTTGGGAATCACTATGAGCCTTAAACCCGCGAAACTCTTGAGTTAGCTCTACGGGCTCCTCCATAAGGGATCTATAAAGGGGTCCTTAAAGGGTTTCTTAAAGGGTTCCTTCAACTGAAGGGTTTTTAAAGCATCCATAAGGGTTCTATAAGGGGGTTATAGGGCCCACACCATAGCTAAACCGCAAACGCTCAACCCGAAAAAGCACACTTATAGACCCGAAACCTGCACCCCTTACCATGAATTCTGTAGACCCCCAAGCAATGGACTCTAGACTCTGCCTTAGGGTTAAGGGTCTAGATTTCTAAGCCACGAACCAAAGCCTTGAACAGTAACTAGACTTGTAGACGCCTGGTTAACCAACCCCTCCTTATAGGTACCGGAGAATTTTTCTGATGTTTCATCAAGGCTTCTTGGGGTCTTATATGCGGTCCTGAGCTCCCTAAGGAACTGTTTCAGGAACCCACTAAGGAATGGTATTCCCTACTCGGAAGGTACGACCATGCGGAGATCGTCGTCGGAACCCGCAGCTGGTATGAGGCCTTCTGCGCATCCGATCCGAGGGCTCAGGGTGTGGGGGGCTTAATATAGAGGCCTAAATAATTAACAACATCATTTTTTAACAACACTATTTTTGGGGTTCCTGATTATCGGTTTTGGGGAAAAGACTATAGGCTTGAGGGCCCTTGGAGTTATCAAATTCTGAAGCCCGGGAAACACCAGGCCTGGTATAACAATGGGGCACAGTGTTGTTAAACTCATTTGGGCCTTGATCCCCTTCGGGGTTTAGGCTCCAAAGGTTCAGGATTTAGGTCTAGGGTTTGTGGTTTAGGTATTTAGGGTGCGAGGGGTTCGGGGTTAAGGGTTTAGCGGGTTTAAGGATTAGGGGTCGGAATGATGTAAAATAGTGTTCTCTAGGGTTCCTTAGTATATTTTTATAACATAAGAACCCACCAAAAAACAGGTCAGAATTCTTCAGGCCCCGGAAGCAGCCCTGAATCGCGAAGTCTAGACTTGCAAGCGCTGAAGAAACCAGAGAGTCTAGTATCACTGAGACTCAAGAAAGTTGCTTGGAATTTATTTGGGGTATGATATTGCATAGTGTTGCTTTACTTTTCGCAAACCATATTCTGTTATACTGTGCCATTACTACGCGATACGATACCCCAGACCCCTGGGAGGATCCAACGAGCGGATGCCGTAAGGAGGTTCCTGTACAGTACCCTTTAGGGATCTACTTTTAGATACTTTCGGAGGCCCGGCACTATGCTGCTCCCGAATCTGTTTTGCGGTAGGGTTTAGGGTTAGGGTTTAATGTTTCACAAAACCAATTACATGATTCAACTCTCCGAAGTATCCACGCTTCTATATTCGACCTTCAACGTAAGGTTGAGACACCTGTCCAACCCCTCATGTAGGAACCTGATTAAGAAACCCTGGGCCCATAAGGGCTCATAACCCCAAAATAGCCGGATTCATATCAGGAACCCTAATAATGGCCCAAGGTTTCTTAATCAGGTTCCTACATTAAACATTAAAACCTGAACCCTAAACCCAAGCGTGCAGGGACCACGTATAAATACGCATCTGGCATCTACGACAGACATTGAAGACGCGAGGTCTTTTGAACCAACTATATCTACTAAACCCTAAACCCTAAACCCTAAACCCTAAACCCTAAACCCTAAACCCTAAACCCTAAACCCTCTACAGGCCTTAACAGTTGACCGTAAACTTCAGACTTTAGCTTGAGTGTAACACAGGGGCCTTGATGATGAGATGAATCCGGTTGCGGGTTATATTATAGTTTGGTTATGACAGCTGAAACAAGAAACCATAAGGAATAACACTGGTAATTATTCATGCTTCTATGCTCATTTATAGTCCAATTTCAACGGAATTTAAACTCCGTATATGCCCCTGCATGTCGCTTACCGTGCAAGTTGGATTGCTCAGTGGCAGGACAGCTGCTGTCAAAGCCGACTGGGAGGAAAAAGTGGGAACACTGAAACGACGCGCGGAGAGGGCACTCGAAGTGGGGAAAGGACAGCTGGTGAACTCATCTGGGGGCGTTCTGGATGTACGCGCACCGATCAAGCGTGCCCGGCTGCAGGATGGTGATTCACTCGTTTTACATATCAGCGGAGTTCAAGTGCAAGCCACTAGAGACGCATTTGCGGCCGCTCTTGGCGATGGATCGTTCATGGCCTGGGGAAATGCTGACTCTGGTGGTGACTGTAGTGCTGTGCAGGATCAGCTAAAGAACGTGCAGCAGATCCAAGCCTCTGCTGGGGCTTTTGCTGCCATTCTTGGCGACGCATCTGTCGTGACTTGGGGCGATGATGAATGCGGTGGTGACAGCAGTGCTGTGCAACATCAGCTGAAAAATGTGGAGAAGATTCAAGCCTCTGCTCGGGCTTTTGCCGCCATTCTTGGCGACGGATCGGTCGTGACCTGGGGCACTGCTGACTGTGGTGGCGAGAGTAGCACTGTTCAAGATCAGCTGAAGAATGTTCAGCAGATCCAAGCCTCTGCTGCGGCTTTTGCTGCCATTTTAGGCGACGGATCGGTCGTGACCTGGGGTGCTGCAGCCTTTGGTGGTGACAGTAGTGCTGTCCAGGATCAGTTGAGGAATGTGCAGCAGATTCAAGCCGTCCCTGGCGATCTTGGCCTCCACGCACATGGAGGTGGATTTGGCGGCGCATTTGCTGCCCTACTTGGCGATGGATCTGTCGTGACCTGGGGCTATGCCGCACTCGGTGGTGATAGCAGTGCCGTGCGGGATCAGCTGAAGAACGTGCAGCGGATCCAATCCAATTCGACAGCTTTTGCTGCAATTCGTGCCGATGGCTCTGTCGTGACGTGGGGCGATTCTGAGTCTGGCGGTGATAGTAGTGATGTGCAGGATCAGCTGAAGAACGTGCAGCAGATCCAAGCCGTCCGTCGTTCGTTTGGCGGCGCGTTTGCTGCCATTCTTGCCGATGGCTCTGTCGTGACCTGGGGCTATGCCGCACTCGGTGGTGATAGCAGTGCCGTGCGGGATCAGCTGAAGAACGTGCAGCGGATCCAATCCAATTCGACAGCTTTTGCTGCAATTCGTGCCGATGGCTCTGTCGTGACGTGGGGCGATTCTGAGTCTGGCGGTGATAGTAGTGATGTGCAGGATCAGCTCAAGAACGTGCAGCAGATCCAAGCCGTCCGAACTGACTATACCAGCGCATTTGCTGCCGTTCTTGCCGATGGCTCTGTCGTGACCTGGGGGTGTGGGGGTGTCAGTAGTGCTGTACAGGATCAGCTTAAGAATGTGCAGCAGCTCCAAGGTGCTTGCCGGTCCTTTGCTGCTATACTTGTCGATGGAACTGTCTCCTCCTGGGGCTTAGGGGAGGACGAAGAGGAGAAAGAGGAGCTGGCGGAGGAGGAAGAGGAAGAAGAAGCTGAAGAAGAGGAAGACACAGAGCCGTAGTCACCCCTGTCATGCAAGCCCTGGGAAACATTGGCAGTCGAGGCCTCCCTAAACCCTAAACCCTAAACCCTAAACCCTACACCCTTAAAGACTTGGGGCTTCATTGGGGCCTCCTGGCTCGTGTTTTCAGTTCGAAGCTGGAAATTGTCTGGGTTGCTACGGTGGATGATAGAAATCCTGCATGACCTTAAGGGCCCAAAACTATGGGAATTATGGTATATTCCTTATTATGGGTAATGCAGGATTTATATCATCAGCCGTAGTATGGCCACAAGGGATTATTTTCTGTCAACATCAAGCGGACGCAAGACACTTGCAGCGTGCGCCAAAAGTCAGGCTGGTCGTGTCAGGATGCCTACAGTGATTAGAACTCTAAACCCTTAGCCCTGATTTATGTGTTAAGGGAGCCTAAACCCTAAAAGGCTTAGGATCCAGGGTTCGAACTGTGTTACCTGAGGCAACGGCTTTCACAACTTTTGCCGGGCTTTTTTCCGGGAGGTACTAGTGAAACAACTCTCAGGTTTTTCTGGTGTCATACTTTCAACTGGCTGTCATTCATGTTCTTACAGGGATACCGGACATTCGTTGGAAGTGCCCTCAAAGCACAACCAAGCCCTAACCATAAAGTCTGAGGCAGCTTCCGGTTTCAGGTGCTGAGCCCTCAGTCCCGAAACCTGGTTCTACCGATCTTGGTATTGTGATTGCAGCAGGGAGGACAAGAAGCCCCAAAACAATAAACATCACCCTGAAGACTCTATCATACCAGGGTTCCCGTACATTCCCTGTATGATTATACTCGAACGCACACCAGATTCCTATTGTTCTGATCTTTGTGGCCGCTATCATACAGGCTTAAAATTAATATGCTGGCTATAGAGCCTTTGAGGCAGCCTTCGTAGCACTATGGAACCCTCCTAGAACCGTCAAACTAGGGTTTAGGGTTGGGGTTTAGTCGTTCCATTCGGAGGGAGAGCAGTCGGTATATCAATGCAAAAGGGGGATAGGAAAACAAGTAGGGCAAACACGAAGGAAACCATTTCGTACAAGACCCGGTGGTTCGTCGTTGCACGACAGCCACCCCGCGTCCCAAACCACAGGAAACCGAAGTGTGGTCAGAGAGCCAAAGAACCTTAAACTCGCAAGGCTACTGGGCGTGAGGACACGGTTCAGGGCGCCGCTTTTAGCACCAACGCACCCTCACTTTCAGACACCGTTTATAAACTTACCCCGAGACCTTAAACCCTAAACTATAAACAACAACGCCTAAACCCTAGGCCCTAAGCTCGAAGCCCTCAACCCTAAGCCCTAAACCCCTAAACCCCTAAACCCTAACCCCTAAACCCCTAAACCCCTAAACCCCAGACCATGAAACCTAATCCCGAATCGTCAGACGGTAGGCCAATGGCTACAGCTTCAAGCGCCATGCCTTGGATGCTGGCCGCAGCCAGCGCCGTCCTCGAATTTTCCGGACGCCGGACCACTCAAAGGGTGTTTGTAAGGTTGTCTTTCGATATACTGGTTGTGTAGGGCCTAAAGGAAAGGTTTTGTAGGTTTGTGTTTAACCAGGGTTTTGTAGGGTTTAACAGGGTGTTTATACTTTTTCGAGGGTTTGGTATGGTGTTTATGAAGGTTTGTCGGCTTAGGTCGTGAGGCCAAACGTACCGTAAATGGAGGTGCACTTACTTAGAACCTCGGCTAAGGGCCTCGGTCCCACGATCCTTTCAGAGCGTCTGCAAGGGCCCAAAAGATCACAAACACATAAATTCGCTAATCCGATTGTAAATCCGCAGCCTTCAATGGGGGATCCCATATTCGCGGTAATTATAATGCTCCCCTGCAAGTAGCAGGCAGACATAACCTGGGATGCTCTTCGTCCCAAGCCCTCTACCCTTTGACATACCGGCTTTGAAAGGATCATAATACAAGGATGATTGCGAGCCTTACTTTCTCCTGATAGAACTTACAGGAACCCGTGTTTTTTTTGTTGTGGGTGGTTTTGTGCTGTGCGTTCTCCGGGCGGCGGGCAGCGAGTGAGTGAGTGATCTCTCACACCAGCAGCAAGACAACGTGACGCGGACGCTGGATGTCCTGTGGAAAGAATGCTCGGAGGGGGCGGGCAGCAAGCGAGTGAGTGAACTTGCCGCGCACCCGCAGCAAAAAAAACGCGCCCCGCACCCGCCCGGGCCTGGGGTCGGGCGGAATCCAGTGGGGCGGTGGCCGGCCAGCCCGGCGTGTTTTTTTTTGCTGCGGGTGCGCGGCGCGTGTTTTTTGCTGCGGGTGCACAGTAAGTTCACTCACTCACTTGCTGCCCGCCGCCTCCGAGCATCCACTGCAAAGGACATCCAGGGACCGTGGTGCCTTTTTTTGCTGCGGGTGTGCGAGCTCACTCACTCACTCGCTGCCCGCCGCCCGGAGCACCAACACGCAGCAAAAAGAAAACAACGCGCCGCGCACGAAGCAAAAAGCACCCACATCAAAACAAAACCCTCTTACCAGAACTTACATGTAAGTTCAATAAGGATAGGGGGTTACAAGATGTTACAAGAAGTTGGGTACTGCAAAGGTTTTACTATTGGGGACCTATAAGGGTTTAGGGTTTGGAGTTACAATCACTTAGTAGCTGAGTGGATACACTTTGCACACTTCTTGGGATATTGTTGCTCACTATAAAACTGTCAGTGTACACTTTTTGGGGCTTATGAATTCAGCAAATAGGATCAATTCTGGGCCCTGTTTTAAGTTCTGTGATTGTCAGAAGGAGGCCTGAGCCCTGCACCCAAACCGCCAAACCATCCCAAAGACGCAAATACCATAAGCCGAGGCCGAAACTAAGATCCCCAAATTCCTAACCTTTAAACTTTCGGGGTTCTTATAGTTTAGTAGGAATCGGAAAGTTTAACCTTTTATGTTTGTGGCTTATTGGGGTAGCAAGGAAACCTCAGGCACTGAACATCCATGCCTGAACCCTCAGCCCTAAGCCTTCAATCCCAAGCCCTAAATCCCAACCCAAACCCGAAAATGCACGCCCCCAACCCGACCTTGGTTCTTAAACATAAAAACACCGCCCTAAAGCCTAAAACCCCTAAAACCTAGAATCCGAAACCCTAAGCCGCCCTAACATCCTCAAATCCGGAAGCCCTAGACCCCGAAACCGGAACCGACACCCTAAAACCCAAAGCCTTACTTAGAGTTTCATGGGACCTAGCAACTAGGGTTATAATTAAGGTAACTATCTTTATAACTTATAACTAGTTATAACCCAGCTAAGGTGCTTGTAACTGTAGTTACTAGGTCCCATGAACCTCCAAGTAATCTCAAACTACCAAATCCTGACAGTAGCCCTTAGCTTAAAGGACCCCTTCAAAGGAGCCTGCGCCCTTTAGAAACCACTAAAGCCGTAAGCCTTGTATCCTCTATTACCATTGTAAACTTATAGCCCCTTACACTATCTACACAGCTCCCTTCGAGACACCCCTTTTTAGCTGAATACCTACAACCCCAAAACTCTAACCTCTAAAGCCTGTATAGTAGCCTTTCTGTCTCCCTAAACCCTAAACCCTAAACCCTAAACCCTAAACCCTAAACCCTAAACTCTAAACCGTTTACAGGAACCCTTGCAAGCCCCAAGCCCTGAAACCGAAGGGCCTGCTAAGGAATTGGAGTTATAAGATGTTAGAAGCGGTTTATAAGTGTGGCTACCTGAAAGTGTGGTTACCTCATGTTACCCTATAAGCCCTATATCCCCCTATGGTTGCCCTTATAGCCACTTACAGTACCTGCATGAAATCCTCATAGGCAGCCCTTGCTGCAACCCTTCTAGTTACCTAATTTTATGTCCCTCCCCCCCCCCCCAGATACTAAGTCGCATGAACCTGTAAGTCAGCCCGACAACCTCCCCTAAACCCTAAACCCGTAAGCCCTAAAGCCCTAAAGCCCTAAAGCCCTAAACCCCTAAACCCCTAATCCGTAAACCCGTAAACCCTAAACCCTCAACCCCTAAACCCTAAACCCCTAAAACCCCCAAGCCCAGGTGGATTCCCCACGCCAAGGGTGCCATCCATAGAGACCCTGCAAGGCTCACGGTCTTTCAGGGGGGGGGGGGCCTTTAGGGGTTCCTTTAAAAGGGGTCTAAAAGGATTACTATAAGGGCTACTTTCAGGGACGTCTGAGCAAGAAGCGAGCAATGGCGCAAAAAGGCGATTGACACTTTTCACCATGGATTCCATGCGTGGCAATTCAGGCTTTAGCATTGCAGGAACCCTAGGTAGAGCCTTAGAACCCCTCCACTTTCCGAAACCCAAAACTCTAAGCCCTAAACCCTTAAACTCAAACCCTGAACTCCCGAACTACATCTGGGATCCCTTATAGGCACCCCTCCACTTCCCAGACCCCCGGGAGGATCTAGAAAGTAGATCCCCTGATTTGGGGCGCTATTCTACTAAGGGTTCTTTTTAGGAGCCCCCCCATGAAGGGATCTACTGTTGATGATATAAATGCTGCATAACCTCAAGGATCCTAAACGATGAGAATTATGGTATATTTCTTATTATGGGTCATGCAGGATTCATATCATCAGCAGTACTTTTTGGATCCTCCGTGCCGCGGGTCTGGGTTTCGGGCCTCGGGCAGGTTCGTGCCACGCTGGCCCGAGTGCAAGCAGAAGGGCTCCGGCCGAGAGCAAACCCCGGGCTTTGCAACCAAGGCCCTGGGCTGCCAGGGTTTTGGGCTTTAAGGGCTTGAGGGGTTTAGGGTTTAGGGTTTAGGGGTTTAGGGTTTAGGGTTTAGGGTTTAGGGGTTTAGGGTTTTGGGGTTTAGGGTGGGTTTAGGGTTTAAGGTTTGGGGTAGGGTCACTACAAAGATAGCATAATAAGGACTTTACGAATTTCTAGGGCTCTTCTTCGGGCCTATTAAGAAAGGTATAAGTATTTTATACAAGTCGGCAGAGGGGAAAGTTACGCCGAGTTACTATGGGTTCTGTTTGGGGGGGTGTCATAAGGGGCTTGCCTGCCCCAACCCCACGAACGTAAACTCTGAAAGTTTAGGGAAAGCTCTCAACCCCTAACAGAATCCTGTTAAAACCCGGTATGACTTATAGAATGCTGAAAAGCGTTGGGCCCTGAGGCTAAGGGTTTAAGGATAAACTTCCCTAACAAACCTAGAGCCCGCAGCCGTACTGTAAATTACAGGTAGCCCTACAAAACCCCTAAGGGGAACCCCCAACCCTCAACCTTAACCCTTCAACCCTAAACCCTAAATTCACACCCGGCACCAATGGGCCGTTCCCACCCATAACTGGGTGCCCAGACACTGAAGATGCCCGGCAGCTTTTACACCGCACTGGGCCAAACAATGGGTGGAACTTATGGAGAATGGTCGAATACCTCGACCTAGCCAGCAAACGCCAGCTGCCCTGGTGTCCCCTCCCCCTTGTCCCTGCCTGCCCTGTCTGCTCAGTGGGAATTGAGGGCATAAGCCCGAAACCCTAACAATAAATGGTTTGGGTGGTTGCCTGTGGTATCATCACAGCAGGCGGTTTTTTCAGAACTTCCCGGTCTCACCGAGTTCCATGACACATGCAAGGAACGTCGCTTTACGTAAAATGCCGCCACCCACACCCTGGTGTGAGGTGGCGCCATCCTAGCATGGATTACCAGCCACTGCGCAAGAAGACGCCGTTTACACTAAACCCTAAACGTTCACCCTCCTAAACCCAAAGTCCCTAACAAGAACCCAGGATCTGGCCTGTGCAAGACTAAACCCTCAACCCTAAACCCTCAACCCTAAACCCTAAATTCCCACCCAGGCCTGCTTAGGCCGTACCCACCCTTTTTCTTAGGGTGCCTGGACCCAGAAGGAAATCCGGCAGTGATTGACACCAACTCTGGATGGACAATGGGTGGAGCCATTGGAGAGTGGTCGAATTCAGCCCCTAGGGCTGAGCCAAGCCATTAGGCCCCTTGCGTGGCGCCCATATTTGCAGAGAGAAGTCTTTCGAATTTGAAGAGATTAAAATGTGGACGTTTCCATTTGGCCCCCCCTCAGAAAAGGCCCCGGAGGCCGGCCCAGGGGGCCCTAGCTGGCAGATTCCAGGGACCCGGGGGGCTCCTGGCGATTTCAGGCGAGACCTGCTGTTTTTTCTGCCCTTCCTGGTTTCTGAGCCTGCCTGGCCGCCCTGGCTCCTGGCCCCCTGACCCTTACCACCTGCCTGACCCGCTCTGTTTTGTGGCGTGTGTAGGTGCGGCCTTCCTGGCCGCAACAGACAGACCGGGCAGGTGGGAATTGAGGGCGTAAGCGCTAAACCCTAAAAGGCAATGTTTTGGGTGGTAGCCTGTGTATTCTCACAGCGGGCGGGAAAAGGTGAGGAACCAATGTGTAATTGTTTATTTAGTGGTGGAATTGCATTCGAACGCTGGACGTCGATATGCCGCCCCCCCACACCCCTGGGAGTGTTGGGGCGCCATCCTACATAGAAAATACTGCCGCTGCGCGGCGAGACGCCCTAAACCCTAAACCCAAAACCCAACACCCTAAACCCTAAACCCTAAACCCTAGGCCCAAAACCCAACACCCTAAACCCTAAACCCTAGGCCCAAAACCCAACACCCTAAACCCTAAACCCTAAACCCTAAGCCCTCAGCGCTCTGATCCCTCCGAAGGCTGCCCTGGTCCTCCAAAAGACGCACAGCAGCTGGGACGCTTTCCGCGATCCCCGAGGCAGCTTAGGCTTCCTTCAGGTTTAGGGTTTAGGGTTTAGGGTTTGGGGTTTAGGGTTTTGGGTTTAAGGTTTAGGGTTTAGGGTTGGATCTATAGGGCTCCTTTAAAGGATCTATGAGGGTAGTGTTTCCGGGGTCAAGGGGACTCCAATGTGCCTTGATTAAAGAATATAATATACATAATTAAAGGATATCGGAGTCTCTGAGTAGGTCCTTAAGAGGGTTCCTTCAGGTTCCTTAACGGGTTCCGTCAGAGGTTCCTTCCTGTAATTGTGGGAATCCTTTTCCGCAGGACAAAGAAGGACATTCCAGACGATGTCAAGAAATTAACAGGCGAGAAGAAGCCAACATTCGAGCATCGCATACTTTGCCCCAAAAGTCTAGTCTAATTCTCAAGGCCCTGACGTTACCGCTCCCCAACCCTAAACCCCAAAGAGTGCCAAAAGGATCACAGCGGTTTAATTGTCATTGTTCAAACTGCCCGGCTTCAACCCTAAACCTAAACCGTCAAAGCCGGATATGGAGTTTGTTTCTTGGGCTGTTCCTGGAATGTAGCACACTGTTATGTGTACTAAGTACCTGTTTTGGGGTTAGGACGTTGTGGTGAGAAACTAAGGTAACCAAAAGAGGAATTACATTTTCGGGTCTCGGGTCTTCTTTGAGCTTCGACGACCTACCAGGTTCTTCTTACTTGCATGAGCACACCGCAAAGTATGTATGTGTCAAAGGATGGAAAATGCGTTTTTTAAACCACCAACTTTTGGGCTTCTGCTATAGGGAGACCCCTTGAAAGAGACCCGTCTTAACGTTGCTTCTGGCTCTCGCAAAAGGGACCTTATTGAGAGAGTCTATGTTTTTAAAGACCCCTCCTAATCCAAACTCCTAGATACGGACGGAATACACCCTAGATGATAAAACGAGTTCTGTTCTGGTTCAAGATGTATTCGCGTCGGTTTTGGCATCTTCAAGATCCCCAAGCCCTGAACAACAAAAGCTTATAAAACCTTTTCGAACTTATTAACACCCTTTTCAAACCAAACAGCAGGAACATGGGCACCTTTATGATCAATGGGCTACAGGGAAACTGAGCCCTATGAGAAGCCGTGTACTATTGGGGACTTAACAAACACCTATACTTTTCGGGGTGTCTTTATTCTATTATAATGGGCCCACAACCTTATTCTATTTCTTAAGCCCCCTATGTCATTGAGCCCTTATAGTAACCCTTATGGATCTCCTTTAAAGGAGCCCATGTAGTAACGTCTTCGAATCTTTGCCTTGGGAGAGGCCCGGCACCCAAGGAAAGCCTCCTGAGCCTCCGAGGCCGGCTTAAGTAGCTTTGAGGGTTTAGGAGTCTAGGAGTTAAGGTTTAGGGGTTTAGGGCTTAAGTTTGGGGTTTAGGGTTGAGGGTATGTATCAGTATCCGGATCCCTGCTACAATAATAACAATGATCATAATTACTGTCATTGTTCCAAGTAGTCGTGTCATAATAGTAACAACTGTTGTGATTCGCATTAAGATGAAGATGACTGTTCTCCTTCTTTTCCCACATTGCAACCCCCAGGCAACAAGGAGTCATATGTGCGGGGCTTTGGGGCCAATTATCATACTATACAAGGCTGTCGGGCCTTTAGTGCCTCATGACATCCTGGCACATCGATAATAAGAACAGCAAGGACGATAATGATAGAATGATAGTTACAGTGGCAAGTACAATGATAGTTTTCATTGTCATTGCGGCACTGCTGGCGCTGTTGTTGATGGTGCAAGTTCTCTTGTGTCTGGCACCTAGCAACACCCGCGAGAGCTCTTGTACAGCCTTCCAGAACTTGGTAAAACACTAAATTCTCCTCCTACACCCTCAGCTTTCAACCATAGTTTGCCACAAACATATTTTACGCCCCTCTTAACCCTCATTATAAACTACTTCAGATCCTTATAAACGGGGTAAGACCACTTAGAATCCTATGAACTCAGAAAAGACACGATTTCATGCCAACTGTTCAATGCGACCCGAAACCCGAAACGCCCAAACCCGAAGCTCTAAACCTTCATAGACCCTTGTAGAACTCCTGGAATTCCCTAGTAGATTCTTTTCATACGGTTGATGATACAAATCCGGCATGACCCATAACAAGGAATATACCATAATTCCTATATCCTTAAGGTAGTGCCAACCCCAAACCCTAAACTCTAAACCAAGCGTAGCCCTTTTTTCTTGCGCCGGGAGGCAGCCAGAGTCTCCCAGAGATCGTGGCAGGAGAGGTTCCCTATCCGCCGTGGGCGACCGAGGGTGCTTTAGGGTTTGGGGGGTTTTCAGGTTTAGGATTCTGGTTTTAAATTTTTAGGTTGGGGTTTAGGGGTTTCAGGGATTAGGGTTTTGGGAGGTAACGTTTGGTTCGTTCATGCGGTTTGGGATCCAGGGTGAGAGTTTAGGGTTTAGGGTTTGGGCCGTATAGGATTTCGGATTTTGTCTGCTCGTGTCTATTGGAGGTTCAGGGGTTTCGGGTTTAGGGGTAACCCTAAACCCTAAACCCTCCCGGTAAGTGTTGCATTGTTTTGGGTTTGGTCGCAGGTTTCGAAGCGTTTTGGGGATTTTTGCTGGGGGCCTTGTAGGAAACCTTGCGCCCCTTTTTGCTGTCAAATGGGTGGTTGTCAAAATTATGGTCCCTTATTGGATCCCTAATATATTACGGCACCGATTATTTAGGGTACCCAAAATGGGACCCTAATTTTGACAACCACCCAAATGAAGGCTGCGTATGGGTCACGCTGTGCTTCGGGGGTTGATCGAGGGCCTGGGCTTTTTAAAGGAGTTCGACATGGTACAACCGGGTTGAGGGGTTCGATCCTCTGCATCAAGTGATGCTGCGATTACAGGGTTTCATTGGTGCCTTCTGGGCAGCGGCTGGTAGACACCAGAGCAACGTGTAGCAGCAGGGCCGTGGTCGGCTTTCATTCTGGATAGCTCGACTTTGTGAGGACGATGGCTTGGTATAGGGGCCTTAATAATTAGAATAGGGTTTTGGGCCCCTTATACTGTAATTTGTAATAATGAACCCCCAGAATAGTACAGGCAATGATTCAGGCTCCTGTAGTAAGCTGTGACGAGGAAGGAAGAACTAGGGCTAATGCAGGCAGTGTCGCAGCTCAGCTGGGTTTCTGCGTGGTGGTACACTATGGGAGTTTCCGAAAATTAGGGGTACCCTTGACGTTCCTGTAAAGGGTTGCTAAAGGGGTACAGAACTATAATATAAGGGTTCCTTTAGGGTTTTTGAGGATGTTCGGTTTAGGATGCTTGTAATAAGGATCCTATTATTCAGGGTACTAGATTAGGGTCCCTGTTTTCGGAAACTCCCGCATCTGCATGAGAGCAAAGATGATGTCGAGCGGGACGATTTGTGCTTTTTGGGCTTTCTCCCGTAGTTGTACAGAGCAGGGGCTATGAGGGAATAGTTTAGTGTGCTTACAGAGTTCTTCAGAGTTACATAATAGACTTATAGAGGGACTATAGTTTTTTTACAATTCTTCTCCCTAAAGCCCTAAGCCCAAAGCTTTTACCCAAAGCTTTTAAAGACCCCTGGATTGCTGTCACTCTCAGGTCCCCATGCTTCATCCGGGACTTCATGCGCCGCGCGAGCTGACCCTTGGGGGGTGGGTTGGACACCGTACCCTGAACCTCAAAGCGTAAACAACCTGAAGCTGCCAGTTTAGGAACCCTAAACCCTTAACCCTAATCCTTAAACGCCCTAAACGGCCAGTTTTGAGCATGTAGAAATCTTGTCCCTTCAGGACTTTCTCAATGCAGGGAGCCCATGACCCCTTTCATCACCTTCCGACGAGTCTGGGGTTTGGCTAAGAAAAGGGGCCTTAAGAATTCGACTGATGGGTTCCTTTCTTAATATGGAGTTCCTTAAAAAGGGTATCTCTAAAGACTACAAAAAGGCCTCGATGATATACGGGCCTTCATAAGAAGAATAGGGTTTTGGGGGTACATTGTACTATGATTACACTAAGGAGCCACCAAAACTGGATTCTAATTATTAAGGCCCCTTCTGTACAGGTGTAGCCTTCACCTTTGTCTAGGGTTTAGGGTTTTGGACTCTTCAGTTTTAAGGGATTTAAGTCTAGGGTCCCGGATTTTTTGGGTTTGAGCCTGCGGTTTTAGGGTTTAGAGTTTAGGGTTTAGAGTGCGAAAAGTGCTACTGGTGGTGGTGGTGGTGGTAGCAGGCAGCAGGAGGTAGTGCCGGAGGTCGCGCTCATGGTCGTGATCGTGGTGGTGGTGGCGGTGGCGGCGGCGGTGGTGGTGGTGGTGGTGGTGGTGGTAGTAGTCGTCGTTGTATTCGTAGTCGACGTCGTCGCAGTAGCTGTAGTAGTCGTACCGGTTGTGTTAGAAGAAGGAAGTAGTAGTAGTAGCTGCAGGAGGAGGAGGAGGAGCAGTAGCAGCAGTAGATTCAATGCTAAATACTGATGTTGATGAGAAGAAGGATAGAACAAAGAGCAGTAGTAACAGCAATGATATTCATGAATGTCATTATTGCAGTCTGCACTATAATATGCTCAGGAATCAAGCGGCATGCTAAGTCAGTTTTAGGGTTCAGGGTCAGGGTTTAGGGTGCTGAAGATCTAGGGTTTAGGGCTTTTAGGGTTCGCACTAGGTGGATGATATAAATCCTGCATTACCTTTAGAACCCTAAACTATGGGAATTATGGTATATTCCCTATTGAGGGTAATGCAGGATTTATATCATCAACCGTACGACCATCAGTGCAAAACTCAGGGTTCGTGGGCTCCCGTATCTAGGGCCGCTCGGTCGGCCAGGTCACAGGAGGAGGTGGCCCGAAGGGTCCATCCTCTTTGGCCAAGAAGTGTGGGAGTTTCCGAAATATAGGGGTACCTTATTTTGGGGTCCTTATAATGAGGATCAGACTATTTTTTAGGATTCTATATTAGGGATCCCCTGTTCTCGGAAATTCCCAGGTGGTTGGGGTTTTCCATGGGGTTATCTGCTCGGGTGACGGGTTCTTGATCCATAGGTTTTTTGGCGGAAGGATCTATGAACTGAATCCCCTAAACAAAGGTTTAGGGTTTAGGGTTTAGGGTTTTGGGGCCCGTACGATGGTAGGATACCTTCCTTGGGAGTTCCGCTTTTTTACTTCCTTTATGGGCTCGGGGTGTTGACATGTCTGCTATCGTTTCACCATGCAACAGCTACCTCCCGAAGGGAGGGTGCAGAAAAGTGTGTGGGGCTTGAGGTTCGCTCTTCGTGCCGTGGTCTTGAGTTTAGGGTTTACGTAAGGGTCCATCGGACTTACTAGCTACGCCCCAGCTAAGGTACTTATAACTGTACTTACTAAGTCCCGTGAACCTCCACGTAGGGCTTATGGTTTCGGTTTTGGGGTTTGGGGTATTCAGGGTTTGAACCCTGGACACCCTAAACCCTAAACCCTAAACCCTAAACCCCAAACCCTAAACCCTAAACCCTAAACCCTAAACATGAAAAGCTCAAGCGTAAGCTAGGATTTGGGGCTCCCAAACCCAAAGCACTGTAATCTTGCAGCCCAAGCCAGAAAAGCCCACTCGCAAATTTGAAGCATGAAGCCTAAACTCATAATCCCTTAGGGGTACTTAGAAATATTTTTTTAATTTTTGGTTCTTGTAATCCCTAAGAAACAGCTAAAATCATAATTGTTGCTAGGGTTCTAAGTTCAGTATAGATCCTTCAGCCCTCCAGCCCTTAAGCTCCTAAGCCTAAACCCCTAACACCCTGAACCCTTGTATCCTAAAGATCGAGGGGCTTAAAGGGAGCTCCAGAAAGTTGGAATATGGTTTCAGGGTAGGATACCGTATAATTTACCATAGAAGGGTTAGGATAATCATATTCCAACTTTCTGGCTTTTACCTTACAGTGGGGGGGGCAAAACGCCTGGCCCAAGTCCTGCTTCAAAGGGATCTAGAATTGGATCTAATGTCATCTAATGTCCTTGGGCCTTTAGGGGTTCCTTTAAGGGTTCCCATAAGGGATTTATAGGGTTTCGGGTTTAAGTTTAGGTTTAGGGTTTTGGGTTTCTATAGTGTAGGAACCTGATTAAGAAACCTTGGGCCTTTAGCGGGGTTCCTTATACGAACCTTACTATTTTGGGGTTATAGGCCCAGGGCTTCTTAATCAGGTTCCTACATTGTAAAGGATCTATGAGGGCTCAGGGTTTCGTATAGGAATTCGAATAGTTGGGAATCATTTTTTGCTTGAGGGTCCTTGTTACAACTAGCTTGATATTATACCACCCTCCAAAAATCGGATTTTGATGGTTGAGGGCCCTATATCAACAGCATTTGCGAAGCCCTTACAAAGGTCTAGGGCTCAGGGTTTAGCGGCACCCGAAATGCTTAAAAGCATAGAGAACTCTAGGCTATCTCTGAAGGGCCGCATCCGGTAGGAACCCACAGACTCCAATATCTACCGTAGATTATAGTAGGATCCCTAACATGATTTAAGGAATATTCCTTATTTAAAGGATATTGCAGTCTCTGGGACAGGGGTAGCCGTAAGACCTTTAGCACTTTGGGGTTTAGAGTGCGCTTATATCGCAGAGAGCACTATCACACCGTAAACTGAATTGCTCATGTCTTAACCCTAACCCTAAACCCCTAAACCCCTAAACCCCAAAGCCCCTAAACCCTGAACCCTAAACCCCTAAACCCCTAAACGACTAAACCCCTAAACCCCTAAACCCCTAAACCCCTAAACCCCTAAACCCCTAAACCTTAAACCCGGCCCTTGAGTGTGCCCTCCACCCATGCCGTAGGTTTCGGGTTGTGGCGGAAGCGGTCTTAGCCAACATGGGAGTTTCCGAAATAGGAAGTTGAAATCGACCCAGTCTCAAACTGACGCTCAAAGATGGTTTAGGGTTTAGGGTTTGGGAGTTTCTAAAAATTAGGCGTACCTTGACAGGGATCCTTTTAAGGGTTCTATAAGGGTTCTATAAAGGGTTTAGGGTTTAGGGTTTGATTTCGAGCCCAAGATCTAAGCCTCAAGTCCGAATGACCTCCATGCTTCAGCCATCCATCCGCTTCATGACAACCATCGCCACCGTCATTACCGATACTAGGCTTCGCGTGCTGATGTGTATGAGTTAGGACCCTGAGCATGAGCATGACTATTTTCATGACGGTTCTTGGCAGTACTATCAGCTAAACTGGCTAGCACCTTGCAGACATGCTCAACTGCTGAGAATACCCAGCAAATCCATCTGCATGCGACATGTCGATTGTGGTGGAAGTTGCTCTCCTCAGTGGCAAGACAGCTACTGTCGAAACAGTCTTGGACGAAGAAGTGAGAAAGCTGAAACATCGAGCACAGAATGCCCTTGGAGTAGGCAGAGGTCACCTCCTGGACTCCACTGGAAGTGTTCTAGACGTATGTGTTCCGATACGGGGCTTTGGAGTACCATACTTTAATACTTTTTTCTTAATGGAGCTATTATGAAATAAAAGTGTATACTGTTTTCTGCCTGGTTACTTTGAAGCCAAATCTGATAAAAATTACCAATCAAAGGACATTAAAAAAACCCAGTACAGCCCAGGATAAAGTGCACCAGGCTGGAGACTGGCGATTCATTGACCCTGGTAGTAAACCGAAATCGAGTTTGTGGCGCTGACAGAGCTTTTGCTGCCATTCTGGGCGACGGGTCCGTCGTGACTTGGGGTGATGCCGGCGGTGGTGGGAACAGTAGTGCTGTGCAGCATCAGCTCAAGGACGTGCAGCAGGTCCAAGCCTGTGGACGTGCTTTCGCTGCCATTGTCGGCGATGGATCCGTCGTGACTTGGGGTGCTCGAGACTGTGGCGGTGACAGTCGTGTTGTGCAGGATCAGCTGAAGAACGTAAAGCATATCCAAGCCTGTGGTCATGCTGTTGCTGCCATTCGTGGCGATGGATCCGTTGTGACCTGGGGTGATGGCGGCCGTGTTGAGAGTAGTGCGAAAATGGTGCTGGATCAGCTGGAGAATGTGCAGCAGATACAAGCCTCTCAGAGTGCTTTTGCTGCCCTTCGTGGCGACGGATCCGTTGTGACCTGGGGTAGTGCCTATCATGGTGGTGACAGCAGTGCTGTGATGGATCAGCTGAAGACTGTGCAGCAGATCCAAGCCTCTAAGAGCGCTTTTGCAGCCATTCTTGGTCACGGAGCCGTCGTGACCTGGGGCCATGCTGGCTTTGGTGGTGACAGTAGTGCCGTGCAACATCAGCTGAAGAATGTGCAGCAGATCCAAGCGTCTGACATGGCTTTTGCTGCCATTCTTGGTGACGGATCTGTTGTGACATGGGGCGATAGTCTCCGTGGCGGCAATAGTAGTGCTGTGCAGGATCAGCTGAAGACTGTGCAGCAGATCCAAGCCACTAGGGCTGCATTTGCCGCTGTTATTGTCGATGGATCCGTTGTGACCTGGGGTCATCCTTACTACGGTTCTGTCACTACGTTTGTGCAGGACCAGCTGAAGGATGTGCAGCATGTCCAAGCCTGTGGGCGTGCTTTTGCCGCCATTCTCGGTGACGGATCCGTTGTGACCTGGGGTTTTTCTGGCGATGGTGGCGACAGTAATGCTTTGCAACATCAGCTGAAGAATGTGCAGCAGATCCAAGCGTCT